AAACCAGCTGTGCTCTTTTTTCATGGTAAGAAAGATTGTTCCAGAGCATTGGTTTCACCACTATACCTAGCACTGCATGTTTGTTTGAGGAAATTAGTTTTTGGCCTTGGATTAGTGCTATAGATCAGATCATGCAGTTTCAAGATTCCTAAGGTTATAGTTGACTTAACCATCATTGAGTTTTGTAAAGGATCAAGACTGTCACATGGGGAGAAGGTAATGATCATAGAGGATATTGTACATGAGGGTAGCCCTATCCTTGGTTTGCAACCATGTGACAAGGCGGCCATGTTGGGGGTCAAAAGAATAGAATTTTTTCTGGAAGAATTTACATGAAAATAGAGTTTAGTTCCCAGAGGAGAGGAAAGCTTTTGTTCTTGAGCACCAACATGGCCGCCGTGACGTGATGTGCGTGCAAACCAGCTCTTCTATAAAATAATGCCTGATTTTGAGGCTTTTCTATTTCAATTTATCAATCTACCAATCTAATGGCATAATGGTAAACTCATAATGTCTTTACCTGTACAGTTTGGACTTATTTTGTGATTTATCTTTCAGTTGCTCTCTACAAGTATTCGACACGGAAAAACAGTTATAAAAGTAAGTAACGGGCGTAACATGAGGTTATAGAGGTTATAGGGGTTACAAAAGGTTACTCAGGATTACAGGAGTTACAAGGGGTTACAAGGGTTACAGGGGGTTACAAGGGTTACAAGGGGGGGTTACAAAAGGGTTACAAGGGGTTACAAGGTTACAGGGGGTTACAGGGGGGGTTACAGGGGTTACAAGGGGTTACAGGGGTTACAAAGGGTTACAGGGGGTTACAGGGGGTACAACAACAAGGGTTACAGGGGGTTACAAGGGGTTACAGGGGGTTACAAGGGGTTACAGGGGGTTACAAAGGGTTACAGGGGGGTTACAGGGGGTTACAGGGGGTTACAAGGGGTTACAGGGGTTACAGGGGTTACAGGGGGGGTTACAAGGGGTTACAGGGGGTTACAAGGGGGGGTTACAAGGGGTTTACAAGGGGTTACAAGGGGGGGGGTTACAAGGGGTTACAAGGGGTGACAGACAGTACCAGATGGTTACAGATGATTACAGGGGTGTTGCAATGGGTTATAGGGTGGTTAATAACTACAACATGAAATTATTTACCTGCACTAGCCTCACACAACAAAAGCTGATTTCCAGGTTGGGCGTAGGCAACCACACATAACAATTGAAATTAGAAGCAATATGGTGTTCACTATCGGAATGCAAATTTTTTATGAAATTTTTACAGGGTAATTAAGGTTAAGTAAAAATTTACACATTTCAGGTTGTTTACTGTGTATGTAATGGTGGGCAAAAGTTCTTGTAGAATATAATGACTTTAATTCAGCTTTAAGATATTTATATGCATACAAATTTAAAAGTCAGAGAGATCCAGCAAAAGGCAAAGAGCAAGAAGTTTGCTTTTAAATTCTGAAACCAGCTGTGCTCTTTTTGCATGGTACGAAAGATTGTTCCAGAGCATTGGTTTCACCACTATACCTAGCACTGCATGTTTGTTTGAGGAAATTAGTTTTTGGCCTTGGATTAGTGCTATAGATCAGATCATGCAGTTTCAAGATTCCTAAGGTTATAGTTGACTTAACCATCATTGAGTTTTGTAAAGGATCAAGACTCTCACATGGGGAGAAGGTAATGATCATAGAGGATATTGTACATGAGGGTAGCCCTATCCTTGGTTTGCAACCATGTGACAAGGTGGCCATGTTGGGGGTCAAAAGAATAGAATTTTTTCTGGAAGAATTTACATGAAAATAGAGTTTAGTTCCCAGAGGAGAGGAAAGCTTTTGTTCTTGAGCACCAACATGGCCGCCGTGACGTGATGTGCGTGCAAACCAGCTCTTCTATAAAATAATGCCTGATTTTGAGGCTTTTCTATTTCAATTTATCAATCTACCAATCTAATGGCATAATGGTAAACTCATAATGTCTTTACCTGTACAGTTTGGACTTATTTTGTGATTTATCTTTCAGTTGCTCTCTACAAGTATTCGACACGGAAAAACAGTTATAAAAAGTAAGTAACGGGCGTAACATGAGGTTATAGGGGTTACAAAAGGTTACTCAGGATTACAGGAGTTACAAGGGGTTACAAGAGGTTACAGGGGTTTACAAAAGGGTTACAGGGGGGGGTTACAGGGGGGGTTACAAAGGGTTACAGGGGTTACAAAGGGGTTACAGGGGGTTACAGGGGGTTACAAGGGGTTACAGGGGTTACAAAGGGTTACAGGGGGTTACAAGGGGTTACAAGGGGTTACAAGGGTTACAAGGGGTTACAGGGGGTTACAAAGGGTTACAGGGGGTTACAAGGGGTTACAGGGGTTACAAGGGGTTACAGGGGGTTACAAGGGGTTACAGGGGGTTACAAGGGGTTACAGGGGGTTACAAGGGGTTACAGAGGGTTACAAGGGGTTACAAGGGATTACAAGGGGTTACAGGGGGTTACAAGGGGTTACAAGGGGTGACAGACAGTACCAGATGGTTACAGATGATTACAGGGGTGTTGCAATGGGTTATAGGGTGGTTAATAACTACAACATGAAATTATTTACCTGCACTAGCCTCACACAACAAAAGCTGATTTCCAGGTTGGGCGTAGGCAACCACACATAACAATTGAAATTAGAAGCAATATGGTGTTCACTATCGGAATGCAAATTTTTTATGAAATTTTTACAGGGTAATTAAGGTTAAGTAAAAATTTACACATTTCAGGTTGTTTACTGTGTATGTAATGGTGGGCAAAAGTTCTTGTAGAATATAATGACTTTAATTCAGCTTTAAGATATTTATATGCATACAAATTTAAAAGTCAGAGAGATCCAGCAAAAGGCAAAGAGCAAGAAGTTTGCTTTTAAATTCTGAAACCAGCTGTGCTCTTTTTGCATGGTAAGAAAGATTGTTCCAGAGCATTGGTTTCACCACTATACCTAGCACTGCATGTTTGTTTGAGGAAATTAGTTTTTGGCCTTGGATTAGTGCTATAGATCAGATCATGCAGTTTCAAGATTCCTAAGGTTATAGTTGACTTAACCATCATTGAGTTTTGTAAAGGATCAAGACTCTCACATGGGGAGAAGGTAATGATCATAGAGGATATTGTACATGAGGGTAGCCCTATCCTTGGTTTGCAACCATGTGACAAGGCGGCCATGTTGGGGGTCAAAAGAATAGAATTTTTTCTGGAAGAATTTACATGAAAATAGAGTTTAGTTCCCAGAGGAGAGGAAAGCTTTTGTTCTTGAGCACCAACATGGCCGCCGTGACGTGATGTGCGTGCAAACCAGCTCTTCTATAAAATAATGCCTGATTTTGAGGCTTTTCTATTTCAATTTATCAATCTACCAATCTAATGGCATAATGGTAAACTCATAATGTCTTTACCTGTACAGTTTGGACTTATTTTGTGATTTATCTTTCAGTTGCTCTCTACAAGTATTCGACACGGAAAAACAGTTATAAAAGTAAGTAACGGGCGTAACATGAGGTTATAGGGGTTACAAAAGGTTACTCGGGATTACAGGAGTTACAAGGGGTTACAAGAGGTTACAGGGGGTTACAAGGGGTTACAGGGGGTTACAAAGGGTTACAGGGGGTTACAAGGGGTTACAAGAGGTTACAGGGGGTTACAAGGGGTTACAGGGGGTTACAGGGGGTTACAGGGGGTTACAAGGGGTTACAGGGGGTTACAGGGGTTACAGGGGGTTACAGGGGGGGTTACAAAGGGGTTACAGGGGGTTACAAGGGGTTACAGGGGTTACAGGGGTTACAAGGGGTTACAGGGGGTTACAAGGGTTACAGGGGTTACAAGGGGTTACAGAGGGTTACAAGGGGTTACAAGGGATTACAAGGGGTTACAGGGGGTTACAAGGGGTTACAAGGGGTGACAGACAGTACCAGATGGTTACAGATGATTACAGGGGTGTTGCAATGGGTTATAGGGTGGTTAATAACTACAACATGAAATTATTTACCTGCACTAGCCTCACACAACAAAAGCTGATTTCCAGGTTGGGCGTAGGCAACCACACATAACAATTGAAATTAGAAGCAATATGGTGTTCACTATCGGAATGCAAATTTTTATGAAATTTTTACAGGGTAATTAAGGTTAAGTAAAAATTTACACATTTCAGGTTGTTTACTGTGTATGTAATGGTGGGCAAAAGTTCTTGTAGAATATAATGACTTTAATTCAGCTTTAAGATATTTATATGCATACAAATTTAAAAAGTCAGAGAGATCCAGCAAAAGGCAAAGAGCAAGAAGTTTGCTTTTAAATTCTGAAACCAGCTGTGCTCTTTTTGCATGGTAAGAAAGATTGTTCCAGAGCATTGGTTTCACCACTATACCTAGCACTGCATGTTTGTTTGAGGAAATTAGTTTTTGGCCTTGGATTAGTGCTATAGATCAGATCATGCAGTTTCAAGATTCCTAAGGTTATAGTTGACTTAACCATCATTGAGTTTTGTAAAGGATCAAGACTCTCACATGGGGAGAAGGTAATGATCATAGAGGATATTGTACATGAGGGTAGCCCTATCCTTGGTTTGCAACCATGTGACAAGGCGGCCATGTTGGGGTCAAAAGAATAGAATTTTTTCTGGAAGAATTTACATGAAAATAGAGTTTAGTTCCCAGAGGAGAGGAAAGCTTTTGTTCTTGAGCACCAACATGGCCGCCGTGACGTGATGTGCGTGCAAACCAGCTCTTCTATAAAATAATGCCTGATTTTGAGGCTTTTCTATTTCAATTTATCAATCTACCAATCTAATGGCATAATGGTAAACTCATAATGTCTTTACCTGTACAGTTTGGACTTATTTTGTGATTTATCTTTCAGTTGCTCTCTACAAGTATTCGACACGGAAAAACAGTTATAAAAAGTAAGTAACGGGCGTAACATGAGGTTATAGGGGTTACAAAAAGTTACTCAGGGATTACAGGAGTTACAAGGGGTTACAAGAGGTTACAGGGGTTTACAAGGGGTTACAGGGGGGTTACAAAGGGTTTACAGGGGTTACAAGGGGTTACAAGGGGTTACAAGGGGTTACAAGGGGGGTTACAAAAGGGTTACAGGGGGTTACAAGGGGTTACAGGAGGTTTACAAGGGGTTACAAGGGGTTACAGGGGGTTACAAAGGGGTTACAAGGGGGGTTACAAAGGGGTTACAGGGGTTACAAAGGGTTACAGGGGGTTACAAGGGGTTACAGGGGTTACAAGGGTTACAAGGGTTACAGGGGTTACAGGGGGTTACAAGGGGTTACAGAGGGTTACAAGGGGTTACAAGGGATTACAAGGGGTTACAGGGGATTACAAAGGGTTACAAGGGGTTACAAGGGTTACAAGGGTGACAGACAGTACCAGATGGTTACAGATGATTACAGGGGTGTTGCAATGGGTTATAGGGTGGTTAATAACTACAACATGAAATTATTTACCTGCACTAGCCTCACACAACAAAAGCTGATTTCAGGTTGGGCGTAGGCAACCACACATAACAATTGAAATTAGAAGCAATATGGTGTTCACTATCGGAATGCAAATTTTTTATGAAATTTTTACAGGGTAATTAAGGTTAAGTAAAATTTACACATTTCAGGTTGTTTACTGTGTATGTAATGGTGGGCAAAAGTTCTTGTAGAATATAATGACTTTAATTCAGCTTTAAGATATTTATATGCATACAAATTTAAAAGTCAGAGAGATCCAGCAAAAGGCAAAAGAGCAAGAAGTTTGCTTTTAAATTCTGAAACCAGCTGTGCTCTTTTTGCATGGTAAGAAAGATTGTTCCAGAGCATTGGTTTCACCACTATACCTAGCACTGCATGTTTGTTTGAGGAAATTAGTTTTGGCCTTGGATTAGTGCTATAGATCAGATCATGCAGTTTCAAGATTCCTAAGGTTATAGTTGACTTAACCATCATTGAGTTTTGTAAAGGATCAAGACTCTCACATGGGGAGAAGGTAATGATCATAGAGGATATTGTACATGAGGGTAGCCCTATCCTTGGTTTGCAACCATGTGACAAGGCAGCCATGTTGGGGTCAAAAGAATAGAATTTTTTCTGGAAGAATTTACATGAAAATAGAGTTTAGTTCCCAGAGGAGAGGAAAGCTTTTGTTCTTGAGCACCAACATGGCCGCCGTGACGTGATGTGCGTGCAAACCAGCTCTTCTATAAAATAATGCCTGATTTTGAGGCTTTTCTATTTCAATTTATCAATCTACCAATCTAATGGCATAATGGTAAACTCATAATGTCTTTACCTGTACAGTTTGGACTTATTTTGTGATTTATCTTTCAGTTGCTCTCTACAAGTATTCGACACGGAAAAACAGTTATAAAAGTAAGTAACAGGCGTAACATGAGGTTATAGGGGTTACAAAGGTTACTCAGGGATTACAGGAGTTACAAGGGGGGGTTACAAGAGGTTACAGGGGTTACAAGGGGTTACAGGGGGGGGTTACAAAGGGTTACAGGGGGGGTTACAAAGGGGTTACAGGGGGGGTTACAAGGGGTTACAAAGGGGGGGTTACAAAAGGTTTACAGGGGGTTACAAAGGGTTACAGGGGTTACAGGGGGTTACAGGGGTTACAAGGGGTTACAGGGGTTACAAAGGGTTACAGGGGTTACAAGGGGTTACAGGAGGTTACAGGGGTTACAAGGGGTTACAGGGGGTTACAAGGGGTTACAAGGGGGTTACAAGGGGGTTACAGAGGGTTACAAAAAGGGGTTACAAGGGGGGGTTACAGGGGTTACAAGGGGTTACAAGGGGTGACAGACAGTACCAGATGGTTACAGATGATTACAGGGGTGTTGCAATGGGTTATAGGGTGGTTAATAACTACAACATGAAATTATTTACCTGCACTAGCCTCACACAACAAAAAGCTGATTTCCAGGTTGGGCGTAGGCAACCACACATAACAATTGAAATTAGAAGCAATATGGTGTTCACTATCGGAATGCAAATTTTTTATGAAATTTTTACAGGGTAATTAAGGTTAAAAAAAATTTACACATTTCAGGTTGTTTACTGTGTATGTAATGGTGGGCAAAAGTTCTTGTAGAATATAATGACTTTAATTCAGCTTTAAGATATTTATATGCATACAAATTTAAAAAGTCAGAGAGATCCAGCAAAAGGCAAAAGAGCAAGAAGTTTGCTTTTAAATTCTGAAACCAGCTGTGCTCTTTTTGCATGGTAAGAAAGATTGTTCCAGAGCATTGGTTTCACCACTATACCTAGCACTGCATGTTTGTTTGAGGAAATTAGTTTTTGGCCTTGGATTAGTGCTATGGATCAGATCATGCAGTTTCAAGATTCCTAAGGTTATAGTTGACTTAACCATCATTGAGTTTTGTAAAGGATCAAGACTCTCACATGGGGAGAAGGTAATGATCATAGAGGATATTGTACATGAGGGTAGCCCTATCCTTGGTTTGCAACCATGTGACAAGGTGGCCATGTTGGGGGTCAAAAGAATAGAATTTTTTCTGGAAGAATTTACATGAAAATAGAGTTTAGTTCCCAGAGGAGAGGAAAGCTTTTGTTCTTGAGCACCAACATGGCCGCCGTGACGTGATGTGCGTGCAAACCAGCTCTTCTATAAAATAATGCCTGATTTTGAGGCTTTTCTATTTCAATTTATCAATCTACCAATCTAATGGCATAATGGTAAACTCATAATGTCTTTACCTGTACAGTTTGGACTTATTTTGTGATTTATCTTTCAGTTGCTCTCTACAAGTATTCGACACGGAAAAACAGTTATAAAAGTAAGTAACGGGCGTAACATGAGGTTATAGGGGTTACAAAAGGTTACTCGGGATTACAGGAGTTACAAGGGGTTACAAGAGGTTACAGGGGGTTACAAGGGGTTACAGGGGGTTACAAAGGGTTACAGGGGGTTACAAGGGGTTACAAGAGGTTACAGGGGGTTACAAGGGGTTACAGGGGGTTACAAAGGGTTACAGGGGGTTACAAGGGGTTACAGGGGTTACAGGGGGTTACAAGGGGTTACAGGGGGTTACAAAGGGTTACAGGGGGTTACAAGGGGTTACAGGGGGTTACAGGGGGTTACAGGGGGTTACAGGGGGTTACAAGGGGTTACAGGGGGTTACAAGGGGTTACAGAGGGTTACAAGGGGTTACAAGGGATTACAAGGGGTTACAGGGGGTTACAAGGGGTTACAAGGGGTGACAGACAGTACCAGATGGTTACAGATGATTACAGGGGTGTTGCAATGGGTTATAGGGTGGTTAATAACTACAACATGAAATTATTTACCTGCACTAGCCTCACACAACAAAAGCTGATTTCCAGGTTGGGCGTAGGCAACCACACATAACAATTGAAATTAGAAGCAATATGGTGTTCACTATCGGAATGCAAATTTTTTATGAAATTTTTACAGGGTAATTAAGGTTAAGTAAAAATTTACACATTTCAGGTTGTTTACTGTGTATGTAATGGTGGGCAAAAGTTCTTGTAGAATATAATGACTTTAATTCAGCTTTAAGATATTTATATGCATACAAATTTAAAAGTCAGAGAGATCCAGCAAAAGGCAAAAGAGCAAGAAGTTTGCTTTTAAATTCTGAAACCAGCTGTGCTCTTTTTGCATGGTAAGAAAGATTGTTCCAGAGCATTGGTTTCACCACTATACCTAGCACTGCATGTTTGTTTGAGGAAATTAGTTTTTGGCCTTGGATTAGTGCTATAGATCAGATCATGCAGTTTCAAGATTCCTAAGGTTATAGTTGACTTAACCATCATTGAGTTTTGTAAAGGATCAAGACTCTCACATGGGGAGAAGGTAATGATCATAGAGGATATTGTACATGAGGGTAGCCCTATCCTTGGTTTGCAACCATGTGACAAGGCGGCCATGTTGGGGGTCAAAAGAATAGAATTTTTTCTGGAAGAATTTACATGAAAATAGAGTTTAGTTCCCAGAGGAGAGGAAAGCTTTTGTTCTTGAGCACCAACATGGCCGCCGTGACGTGATGTGCGTGCAAACCAGCTCTTCTATAAAATAATGCCTGATTTTGAGGCTTTTCTATTTCAATTTATCAATCTACCAATCTAATGGCATAATGGTAAACTCATAATGTCTTTACCTGTACAGTTTGGACTTATTTTGTGATTTATCTTTCAGTTGCTCTCTACAAGTATTCGACACGGAAAAACAGTTATAAAAGTAAGTAACGGGCGTAACATGAGGTTATAGGGGTTACAAAAGGTTACTCAGGGATTACAGGAGTTACAAGGGGTTACAAGAGGTTACAGGGGTTACAAGGGGTTACAAAGGGTTACAAAGGGGGGTTACAAGGGGTTACAAAGGGGTTACAAGGGGTTACAGGGGGGTTACAAAGGGGTTACAGGGGTTACAAAGGGTTACAGGGGTTACAGGGGTTACAAAGGGGTTACAAAGGGTTACAGGGGGTTACAAGGGGTTACAGGAGGGGTTACAGGGGTTACAAAGGGTTACAAGGGGTTACAAAGGGTTACAAGGGGTTACAAGGGGTTACAAGGGGGGTTACAAGGGGTTACAGGGGGTTACAAAGGGGTTACACAAGGGGTTACAGGGGGTTACAAAAGGGGGGTTACAAGGGGTTACAAAAGGGGTTACAGGGGTTACAAGGGGATTACAAGGGGGGTTACAAGGGGGGTGACAGACAGTACCAGATGGTTACAGATGATTACAGGGGTGTTGCAATGGGTTATAGGGTGGTTAATAACTACAACATGAAATTATTTACCTGCACTAGCCTCACACAACAAAAAGCTGATTTCCAGGTTGGGCGTAGGCAACCACACATAACAATTGAAATTAGAAGCAATATGGTGTTCACTATCGGAATGCAAATTTTTATGAAATTTTTACAGGGTAATTAAGGTTAAGTAAAAATTTACATTTCAGGTTGTTTACTGTGTATGTAATGGTGGGCAAAAGTTCTTGTAGAATATAATGACTTTAATTCAGCTTTAAGATATTTATATGCATACAAATTTAAAAGTCAGAGAGATCCAGCAAAAGGCAAAGAGCAAGAAGTTTGCTTTTAAATTCTGAAACCAGCTGTGCTCTTTTTGCATGGTAAGAAAGATTGTTCCAGAGCATTGGTTTCACCACTATACCTAGCACTGCATGTTTGTTTGAGGAAATTAGTTTTTGGCCTTGGATTAGTGCTATAGATCAGATCATGCAGTTTCAAGATTCCTAAGGTTATAGTTGACTTAACCATCATTGAGTTTTGTAAAGGATCAAGACTCTCACATGGGGAGAAGGTAATGATCATAGAGGATATTGTACATGAGGGTAGCCCTATCCTTGGTTTGCAACCATGTGACAAGGCGGCCATGTTGGGGTCAAAAGAATAGAATTTTTTCTGGAAGAATTTACATGAAAATAGAGTTTAGTTCCCAGAGGAGAGGAAAGCTTTTGTTCTTGAGCACCAACATGGCCGCCGTGACGTGATGTGCGTGCAAACCAGCTCTTCTATAAAATAATGCCTGATTTTGAGGCTTTTCTATTTCAATTTATCAATCTACCAATCTAATGGCATAATGGTAAACTCGTAATGTCTTTACCTGTACAGTTTGGAGTTATTTTGTGATTTATCTTTCAGTTGCTCTCTACAAGTATTCGACACAAAAAAACACTTATAAAAGTAAGTAACGGGCGTAACATGAGGTTATAGGGGTTACAAAAGGTTACTCGGGATTACAGGAGTTACAAGGGGTTACAAGAGGTTAGAGGGGGTTTCAAAGGGTTACAGGGGGTTACAAGGGGTAACAAGAGGTTACAGGGGGTTACAAGGGGGTTACAGGGGTTACAAGGGGTTACAGGGGGTTACAAAGGGTTACAAAGGGGTTACAAGGGGTTACAAAGGGGGTTACAGGGGTTACAAAGGGTTACAGGGGTTACAAAGGGGTTACAGGGGGTTACAGGGGGTTACAGGGGGGGTTACAAGGGGTTACAGGGGGTTACAAGGGGTTACAGGGGTTACAAGGGGTTACAAGGGGTTACAAAAGGGGTTACAAGGGGGGTACAAGGGGTTACAAGGGGTTACAGACAGTACCAGATGGTTACAGATGATTACAGATGATTACAGGGTGTTGCAATGGGTTATAGGGTGGTTAATAACTACAACATGAAATTATTTACCTGCACTAGCCTCACACAAACAAAAGCTGATTTCCAGGTTGGGCGTAGGCAACCACACATAACAATTGAAATTAGAAGCAATATGGTGTTCACTATCGGAATGCAAATTTTTTATGAAATTTTTACAGGGTAATTAAGGTTAAGTAAAAATTTACACATTTCAGGTTGTTTACTGTGTATGTAATGGTGGGCAAAAGTTCTTGTAGAATATAATGACTTTAATTCAGCTTTAAGATATTTATATGCATACAAATTTAAAAAGTCAGAGAGATCCAGCAAAAGGCAAAGAGCAAGAAGTTTGCTTTTAAATTCTGAAACCAGCTGTGCTCTTTTTGCATGGTAAGAAAGATTGTTCCAGAGCATTGGTTTCACCACTATACCTAGCACTGCATGTTTGTTTGAGGAAATTAGTTTTTGGCCTTGGATTAGTGCTATAGATCAGATCATGCAGTTTCAAGATTCCTAAGGTTATAGTTGACTTAACCATCATTGAGTTTTGTAAAGGATCAAGACTCTCACATGGGGAGAAGGTAATGATCATAGAGGATATTGTACATGAGGGTAGCCCTATCCTTGGTTTGCAACCATGTGACAAGGCGGCCATGTTGGGGGTCAAAAGAATAGAATTTTTTCTGGAAGAATTTACATGAAAATAGAGTTTAGTTCCCAGAGGAGAGGAAAGCTTTTGTTCTTGAGCACCAACATGGCCGCCGTGACGTGATGTGCGTGCAAACCAGCTCTTCTATAAAATAATGCCTGATTTTGAGGCTTTTCTATTTCAATTTATCAATCTACCAATCTAATGGCATAATGGTAAACTCATAATGTCTTTACCTGTACAGTTTGGACTTATTTTGTGATTTATCTTTCAGTTGCTCTCTACAAGTATTCGACACGGAAAAACAGTTATAAAAGTAAGTAACGGGCGTAACATGAGGTTATAGGGGTTACAAAAGGTTACTCGGGATTACAGGAGTTACAAGGGGTTACAAGAGGTTACAGGGGGTTACAAGGGGTTACAGGGGTTACAAAGGGGTTACAGGGGGTTACAAAGGGTTACAGGGGTTACAAGGGGTTACAAGGGGTTACAGGGGGTTACAAGGGGTTACAGGGGGTTACAAAGGGTTACAGGGGTTACAGGGGGTTACAGGGGTTACAAGGGGTTACAGGGGGTTACAAGGGGTTACAAGGGTTACAAGGGGTTACAAAAGGGTTACAGGGGTTACAAGGGTTACAGGGGTTACAGGGGTTACAAGGGGTTACAGGGGGTTACAAGGGGTTACAGAGGGTTACAAGGGGTTACAAGGGGTTACAAGGGGTTACAGGGGGTTACAACGGGTTACAAGGGGTGACAGACAGTACCAGATGGTTACAGATGATTACAGGGGTGTTGCAATGGGTTATAGGGTGGTTAATAACTACAACATGAAATTATTTACCTGCACTAGCCTCACACAACAAAAAGCTGATTTCCAGGTTGGGCGTAGGCAACCACACATAACAATTGAAATTAGAAGCAATATGGTGTTCACTATCGGAATGCAAATTTTTTATGAAATTTTTACAGGGTAATTAAGGTTAAGTAAAAATTTACACATTTCAGGTTGTTTACTGTGTATGTAAATGGTGGGCAAAAGTTCTTGTAGAATATAATGACTTTAATTCAGCTTTAAGATATTTATACGCATACAAACTTAAAAATCAGAGAGATCCAGCAAAAGGCAAAGAGCAAGAAGTTTGCTTTTAAATTCTGAAACCAGCTGTGCTCTTTTTTTTGCATGGTAAGAAAGATTGTTCCAGAGCATTGGTTTCACCACTATACCTAGCACTGCATGTTTGTTTGAGGAAATTAGTTTTTGGCCTTGGATTAGTGCTATAGATCAGATCATGCAGTTTCAAGATTCCTAAGGTTATAGTTGACTTAACCATCATTGAGTTTTGTAAAGGATCAAGACTCTCACATGGGGAGAAGGTAATGATCATAGAGGATATTGTACATGAGGGTAGCCCTATCCTTGGTTTGCAACCATGTGACAAGGCGGCCATGTTGGGGGTCAAAAGAATAGAATTTTTTTTCTGGAAGAATTTACATGAAAATAGAGTTTAGTTCCCAGAGGAGAGGAAAGCTTTTGTTCTTGAGCACCAACATGGCCGCCGTGACGTGATGTGCGTGCAAACCAGCTCTTCTATAAAATAATGCCTGATTTTGAGGCTTTTCTATTTCAATTTATCAATCTACCAATCTAATGGCATAATGGTAAACTCGTAATGTCTTTACCTGTACAGTTTGGACTTATTTTGTGATTTATCTTTCAGTTGCTCTCTACAAGTATTCGACACGGAAAAACAGTTGTAAAAGTAAGTAACGGGCGTAACATGAGGTTATAGGGGTTACAAAAGGTTACTCGGGATTACAGGAGTTACAAGGGGTTACAAGAGGTTACAGGGGGTTACAAGGGGTTACAGGGGGTTACAAAGGGTTACAGGGGTTACAGGGGGTTACAAGGGGTTACAGGGGGTTACAAAGGGTTACAGGGGGTTACAAAGGGTTACAGGGGGTTACAAGGGGTTACAGGAGGTTACAGGGGTTACAAGGGGTTACAGAGGGTTACAAAAGGTTACAGGGGGTTACACGGGGTTACAGGGAGTTACAACAAGGGGTCACAGAGGGTTACAAGGGGTTACATGGGGTTACAGGGGGTTACAAGAGGTTACAAGGGATTACAAGGGGTTACAGGGGGTTACAAAGGGTTACAGGGGGTTCCAAGGGGTTACAACGGGTTACAGAAGGTTACAAGAGGTTACAGGGGGTTGCCAGGGGTTACAGGGGGTTACAAAGGGTTACAGGGGTTACAGGGGGTTACAAGGGGTGACAGAGGGGTTACAAGGGGTTACAAGGGGTTACAGGGGTTACAGGGGTTACAGGGGTTACAAGGGGTTACAAGGGGTTACAAAGGGGTTACAAGGGGTTACAAGGGGTTACAAGGGGTTACAAGGGGTGACAGACACTACCAGATGGTTACAGATGATTACAGGGGTGTTGCAATGGGTTATAGGGTGGTTAATAACTACAACATGAAATTATTTACCTGCACTAGCCTCACACAACAAAAAGCTGATTTCCAGGTTGGGCGTAGGCAACCACACATAACAATTGAAATTAGAAGCAGTATGGTGTTCACTATCGGAATGCAAATTTTTTATGAAATTTTTACAGGGTAATTAAGCTTAAGTAAAAATTTACACATTTCAGGGAGTTTACTATGTACCGTATGTAATGGTGGGCAAAAGTTCTTGTAGAATATAATGACTTTAATTCAGCTTTAAGATATTTATACGCATACAAACTTAAAAATCAGAGAGATCCAGCAAAAGGCAAAGAGCAAGAAGTTTGCTTTTAAATTCTGAAACAAGCTGTGCTCTTTTTGCATGGTAAGAAAGATTGTTCCAGAGCATTGGTTTCACCACTATACCTAGCACTGCATGTGTGTTTGAGGAAATTAGTTTTTGCCTTGGATTAGTGCTATAGATCAGATCATGCAGTTTCAAGATTCCTAAGGTTATAGTTGACTTAACCATCATTGAGTTTTGTAAAGGATCAAGACTCTCACATGGGGAGAAGGTAATGATCATAGAGGATATTGTACATGAGGGTAGCCCTATCCTTGGTTTGCAACCATGTGACAAGGCGGCCATGTTGGGGGTCAAAAGAATAGAATTTTTTCTGGAAGAATTTACATGAAAATAGAGTTTAGTTCCCAGAGGAGAGGAAAGCTTTTGTTCTTGAGCACCAACATGGCCGCCGTGACGTGATGTGCGTGCAAACCAGCTCTTCTATAAAATAATGCCTGATTTTGAGGCTTTTCTATTTCAATTTATCAATCTACCAATCTAATGGCATAATGGTAAACTCGTAATGTCTTTACCTGTACAGTTTGGACTTATTTTGTGATTTATCTTTCAGTTGCTCTCTACAAGTATTCGACACGGAAAAACAGTTATAAAAGTAAGTAACGGGCGTAACATGAGGTTATAGGGGTTACAAAAGGTTACTCGGGATTACAGGAGTTACAAGGGGTTACAAGAGGTTACAGGGGGTTACAGGGGGTTACAAAGGGTTACAAGAGGTTACAGGGGGTTACAAGGGGTTACAGGGGGTTACAAAGGGTTACAGGGGGTTACAAGGGGTTACAAGGGGTTACAAGGGGTTACAGACAGTACCAGATGGTTACAGATGATTACAGGGGTGTTGCAATGGGTTATAGGGTGGTTAATAACTACAACATGAAATTATTTACCTGCACTAGCCTCACACAACAAAAGCTGATTTCCAGGTTGGGCGTAGGCAACCACACATAACAATTGAAATTAGAAGCAGTATGGTGTTCACTATCGGAATGCAAATTTTTTATGAAATTTTTACAGGGTAATTAAGCTTAAGTAAAAATTTACACATTTCAGGTAGTTTACTATGTACCGTATGTAATGGTGGGCAAAAGTTCTTGTAGAATATAATGACTTTAATTCAGCTTTAAGATATTTATACGCATACAAACTTAAAAATCAGAGAGATCCAGCAAAAGGCAAAGAGCAAGAAGTTTGCTTTTAAATTCTGAAACCAGCTGTGCTCTTTTTGCATGGTAAGAAAGATTGTTCCAGAGCATTGGTTTCACCACTATACCTAGCACTGCATGTTTGTTTGAGGAAATTAGTTTTTGGCCTTGGATTAGTGCTATAGATCAGATCATGCAGTTTCAAGATTCCTAAGGTTATAGTTGACTTAACCATCATTGAGTTTTGTAAAGGATCAAGACTGTCACATGGGGAGAAGGTAATGATCATAGAGGATATTGTACATGAGGGTAGCCCTATCCTTGGTTTGCAACCATGTGACAAGGCGGCCATGTTGGGGGTCAAAAGAATAGAATTTTTTCTGGAAGAATTTACATGAAAATAGAGTTTAGTTCCCAGAGGAGAGGAAAGCTTTTGTTCTTGAGCACCAACATGGCCGCCGTGACGTGATGTGCGTGCAAACCAGCTCTTCTATAAAATAATGCCTGATTTTGAGGCTTTTCTATTTCAATTTATCAATCTACCAATCTAATGGCATAATGGTAAACTCGTAATGTCTTTACCTGTACAGTTTGGACTTATTTTGTGATTTATCTTTCAGTTGCTCTCTACAAGTATTCGACACGGAAAAACAGTTATAAAAAGTAAGTAACGGGCGTAACATGAGGTTATAGGGGTTGCAAAAGGTTACTCAGGGATTACAGGAGTTACAAGGGGTTACAAGAGGTTACAGGGGGTTACAGGGGTTACAAGGGGTTACAAAGGGTTACAGGGGTTACAAAGGGTTACAAGAGGTTACAAGGGTTACAGGTTACAAGGGGTTACAAAGGGTTACAGGGGTTACAAAGGGTTACAGGGGTTACAAATTTTTACAGGGTTACAGGGGTTACAGGGGTACAAACTTAAAAATCAGGGGTTACAGGGGTTACAGGGGGTTACAGGGGTTACAGGGGTTACAAAGGGTTACAGGGGTTACAAGGGGTTACAGGGGTTACAGGGGTTACAAGGGGTTACAAGGGGTTACAGGGGTTACAAGGGGTTACAAGGGGTTATAGGGGTTACAAGGGGTTGACAGACAGTACCAGATGGTTACAGATGATTACAGGGGTGTTGCAATGGGTTATAGGGTGGTTAATAACTACAACATGAAATTATTTACCTGCACTAGCCTCACACAACAAAAAGCTGATTTCCAGGTTGGGCGTAGGCAACCACACATAACAATTGAAATTAGAAGCAATATGGTGTTCACTATCGGAATGCAAATTTTTATGAAATTTTTACAGGGTAATTAAGGTTAAGTAAAAATTTACACATTTTTAGGTAGTTTACTATGTATGTAATGGTGGGCAAAAGTTCTTGTAGAATATAATGACTTTAATTCAGCTTTAAGATATTTATACGCATACAAACTTAAAAATCAGAGAGATCCAGCAAAAGGCAAAGAGCAAGAAGTTTGCTTTTAAATTCTGACACCAGCTGTGCTCTTTTTGCATGGTAAGAAAGTTTGTTCCAGAGCATTGGTTTGACCACTATACCTAGCACTGCATGTGTGTTTGAGGAAATTAGTTTTTGGCCTTGGATTAGTGCTATAGATCAGATCATGCAGTTTCAAGATTCCTAAGGTTATAGTTGACTTAACCATCATTGAGTTTTGTAAAGGATCAAGACTCTCACATGGGGAGAAGGTAATGATCATAGAGGATATTGTACGTTAGGGTAGCCCTATCCTTGGTTTGCAACCATGTGACAAGGCGGCCATGTTGGGGGTCTAAAGAATAGAATTTTTTCTGGAAGAATTTACATGAAAATAGAGTTTAGCTCCCAGAGGAGAGGAAAGCTTTTGTTCTTGAGCACCAACGTGGCCGCCGTGACGTGATGTGCGTGCAAACCAGCTCTTCTATAAAATAATGCCGGATTTTGAGGCTTTTCTATTTCAATTTATCAATCTACCAATCTAATGGCATAATGGTAAAGTCGTAATGTCTTTACCTGTACAGTTTGGACTTATTTTGTGATTTATCTTTCAGTTGCTCTCTACAAGTATTCGACACGGAAAACAGTTATAAAAGTAAACGGGCGTAACATGAGGTTATAGGGGTTTCAAAAGGTTACTCAGGGATTACAGGAGTTACAAGGGGTTACAAGAGGTTACAGGGGTTACAAGGGGTTACAGGGGTTACAAAGGGTTACAGGGGGTTACAAGGGGTTACAAGAGGTTACAGGGGTTACAAGGGGTTACAGGGGGTTACAAAGGGTTACAGGGGGTTACAAGGGGTTACAGGAGGTTACAGGGGGTTACAAGGGGTTACAGGGGGTTACAAAGGGTTACAGGGGGTTACAAGGGGTTACATTGGGTTACAAAGGGTTACAGGGGGTTACAAGGGGTTACAGGAGGTTACAGGGGGTTACAAGGGGTTACAGAGGGTTTCACAAGGGCTACAAGGGATTGGAGGGGGTTACAAGAGGTTACAGAGGGTTACAAAGGGTTACAAGGGGCTACAAGGGATTAGAGGGGGTTACAAGGGGTTACACGGGGTTACAGACAGCGGCAGATGGTTACACTATGAAATTATTTACATGTGCTAGCTTTTTACAACAAAAGCTGATTTCCAGGTTTGGCGGAGGGAGCCACACATAACAATTGAAATTAGAAGCAATATGGTGTTCACTATAGGAATGCAAAATTTTTTTGAAATTTTACAGGGTAATTAAGCTTAAGTAAAAATTTACACATCTTAGGTAGTTTGCTATGTATGTAATGGTGGGCAAAATTTCTTGTAGAGTATAATGACTTTTATTAAGTTTTAAGATATTTATACGGATACAAATTAAAAAAACCAGAGAGATCCAGCAAAAGGCAAAGAGCAAGAAGTTTGGTTTCAAATTTCTAAACCAGCTGTGTTTTTTTTGCATGGTAAGGAAGATTGTTCCAGAGCATTCGTTTCACCACTATAGCTAGCACTATATGTGTGGTTGAGGAAATTAGTTTTTGGCCTTGGATTAGTGCTATAGATCAGATCATGCAGTTTCAAGATTCCTAAGGTTATAGTTGACTTAACCATCATTGAGTTTTGTAAAGGATCAAGACTCTCACATGGGGAGAAGGTAATCATCGTAGAGGATTTTTTACATTAAGGTAGCCCTATCCTTGGTTTGCAACCATGTGACAAGGCGGTCATGTTGGGGGTCAAAAAAATAGCATTTTTTCTGGAAGAATTTACATGAAAATAGAGTTTCGTTCCCAGAGGAGAGGAAAGCTTTTGTTCTTGAGCACCAACATGGCCTTCGTGACGTGGTTGCAAACCAGCTCTTCTATAAAATAATGCCTGATTTTGAGGCTTTTCTATTTGAGTTTATCAATCTACCAATCTAATACGCTCTTCTAACGTATGGTAATATGCCCGTCTAACCTTGTTTTTGAGTAAAAAGTCTTTTTGAAATGCGAATCAGACGACGTTTTCGTATTTGAATTTCAAAAGAATTTTTACCCGTAAACAAGGTTAGACGGGCATATTACCATAAGTGAGAAGAGTGTATGGCATATGGTAAATTCGTAATGTCTTTACCTGTACAGTTTGGAATTATTTTGTGATTTATCTTTTAGTTGCTCTCTACAAGTATTCGACACGGACAAACAGTTATAAAAGTAAGTAACAGGGCGTAAAATAAAGTTATAGGGGTTACAAAAGGTTACTCGCGATTACACGGGGTTTCAAGGGGTTACAAGAGGTTACAGGGGGTTACAAGGGGTTACGGGGGTTTAGAAAAGGTTGCAGGGGGGTTACAAAGTGTTACAGGAGGTTACAAGGGGTTACAGGTTGTTACAAAGTGTTACAGGGCTTACAAGGGGTTACAGGAGGTTACAGGGGGTTACAAGGGGTTACAGAGGGTTACAAAGGGTTACAAGGGTTAATGGAGGTTACAGGGGTTAGAAGGGGTTACAGGGGGTTATAAGCGGTTACAGGGGGTTACAAACTGTGACAGGGGGCTACAAGTGGTTACAGGAGGTTACAGGGTGTTACAAGGGGTTACAGGTGGTTACAGGGGGTTACAAAGGGTTACAGGGGGTTACAGGGGGTTACAGGGGGTTACAAGGGGTTACAAGGGATTACATGGGGTTACAGGGGCCATCCATAGTCATGGCAGTTATTCGTAGTCATCCATAGTCATCCATAAATATCCCTTGTCATCCCAGTCATCCCTAGTTGTCCTAGTCATGGCTAATCATGCCAGTCAGCCCAGTCAACCATAGTCATCCTTGTCATTCCTAGTCATCCCAGTCTTCCCTGTCATCCCAGTCATCCCTAATCATTCCTACTTATCTGTACTCATCCGTAGTCATCTCTGGTTATCCCCGTCATTCCTAATCATCCCTAGTCATTTGTAGTCATCCCAGTCATCCCTAGTCATCCCTCTGTCATCCATAGTCATCCTAGTCATCGCTTGTCATTCCTAGTCATCTCTAGTCATCCCTTGTCATTCCAATCATTCTTAGTCATCCAAATCATCCCTAGTCATCCCAGTCATCCCTAGTCATCCCAAGTCATCCCAGTCATCCCTTGTCATCCCTAGTCCTCCCTAGTCATCCCAGTCATCCCTAGGCATCCCTAGGCATCCCTACTCATCCTAGTCACCCCCACTTATCCTTAATCATCCCAATCATCCCTAGTCATTACTAGTCATCCAAAGCATCCTTAGTCATCAGTATTCATCCCTAGTCATCCCAATCATCCCTAGTCATCTCCAGTCCTCCCTAGTCAGCCCAGTCATCCCTAGTCATTGTAGTCATCGTTAGTCATCCCTGTCATCCCTATTTATCCCAACCATCCCTAGTCATCCCTAGTCATCCCAATCATCCTTAGTCATCCCTAGTCATCCTAGTCATCCCTACCTATCCTTAGTCTTCTCGTGTCATCCGTAGTCATTTCAACCATCCCTGTTTATCCGAGTCATCCTTAGTGATCCCAGTCATCCATACTAATCCCTAGTCATACCTAGTCATCCCTACTCGTAACTAGTCATCCCCAGTCATGCCTAGTCATGCCTAGTGATTCCTGGTCATCTCTAGTAATCCCTAATCACCCCTAGGCATCCTAGTCATGCCTAGTTATCGTTGTTATTCTAGTCATCCTAGTCATGCCTAGTGATCTCTAGCCATCCTAGTCAACCTTGGCATCCCAGGCATCCCAGTCCTCCCTGGTCATCCCTTGTCATCCCAGTAATCCTTAGTCATCCCTACTCAGCACTAGTCATCCCTAGTTACCCCTATATTCATACCTAGTCATCCCTTGTCATTCTTGTCATCACTAGATATCCTTTGTCATCCTAATCATCCCTAGTCATTCCTTGTCATCTTAGGGATTCCTAGTCATCCTAATCATCCCAAGTCATCCCTGGTCATCCTTAGTCATCCCTCGTCATTCCTAGTCATCCCTAGTCATTCCAATTATCCCTAGTCATCCCAATCATCCCTAGTCATCCATAGTCATCCCTAGTCATCTTAATCATCCCAGTCATGCCCAGTCATCCCTAGTCATCCCTAGTCATCCCAGTCATCCCTGGTTATTCTAGTCATCTCTAGTCATCCCTAGTTATCCCTTGTTATTGCTAGTCATCCTAACTCATCTTAGTCATCCCTAGTCATCCATGGTCATTCCCAGTCATCCCTAGTCATCTCAGTCATGCCTGTTCACCCCAATCATCCCGACTCATCGCAGTCATCCTTAGTCATCCCTTGTCATCTCAATCTTCCTTAGTCATCCTTCGTTAACACAGTGATCGCAAGTCATCCCTGGTCACCCCGGTATCCCTATTCATCCCTCTGTCATTCCTAGTCATCCTAGTCATCTCTAGTCACCACAGTCATCCCTAGTCATCCCTAACCGTCTTAATCATCCCTAGTCATCCCCAGTCATGTTTTAGTCATACCGAGTCATCCCAGTCAACCCTAGTCATCCTAGTCATTCCTAGTCATCCCAGTCATCCGTAGTCATCCCAGTTATCCCTTGTGATCCCAGTCATTCGTAGTCATCTCTTGTCATCCCTACTCATCCCAGTCATCGCTAGTCACCCCTAGTCATCTCTAGTCAACCCTAGTCATACCAGTCCTCCCTTGTGATCCTAGTCATCCCAATGGTCCTTAGTCATCCCAGTCATCCCTAGTGATCCCCTGTGATCCCTAGTCATCCCAGTCACTCCTAGTAATTCCTACTGATCCCTAGTTATCGCTAGTGAACCTTAGTCATCCCATTCATCTCCAGTAATCCTAGTAATCATTAGTTATCCAAGTCGTCGCTCATCATTCAAGTCATCTTTAGTCATCCCTAGTCATCCCTATAGTGATCCCTAGTCATCCCTAGTCATCCTAGTCATCCCTAGTTATTCTTAGTCATCCCAGTCATCCCTGGTCATCCCTAGTCATCCCAGGCATTCCTAGTCATCCCTAGTCATCCCAGTCATCCCTAGTCATCCTTGTCATCCCTATTCATCTCAGTCATCCCTAGTCACCCCATCGATCCCTAGTCACTCGTAGTCATCCCTAGTGAGCCCGGTCATCCCTAGTCGTACCTAGTCAGCGCTAGGCATCAATATTCATCCCTAGTCATCCCAGTCATCCCTAGTCATCCCTAGTCATCCCAGTCATCTAATAGTCATCCTTAGGAATCCTGTCTTATTTCTAGTCATCTACAGTCATCCGTAGTCACCCCTGCGATTCCTAGTGATTCCTAGTCATCCCTAGTCATCCCTGGCCATCCCTAGTCATCCTTCGTCATCCCTAGTCATTTCAGACATCCCTGTTTATCCCAATGGTCACCCAAGTCATCATAGTCTCCCAACTCACCTTAGGTTTCCTAGGCACCCAAGTCACCCTAGTTTTCCTAGGCACCCAAGTCACCCTAGTCACCCAAGTAATCCAGATCGCCCAAGTCACCCAAGTTACCCTAGTCACCGAAGTCACCCTAGTCGCCCAAGCCTCCCTAAGTCACACTAGTCACCCTATGGCACACTCGTCACCCTAATCACCCAAGGCACCTTAGTGAAGAAAGTCATCAAAGCCACCCTGGTAACCCTAAGTCACCCTTGTAACCCAAGTCAGCCGAGTCATGCTGGTCACCCAAGTCATGATAGTCACCCAACTTACCCTAGTCTCTCTATGCACCCAAGGAGTCCTGCTTAACCTCATCACCGAAGTCACCCGAGTCACCCAAGTCTTCCTAAGTCACACTAGTCACCCTATTTCACCCTAGTCACCCCAGTCACCCAAGGCACCCTAATCACCCTTCTCACCCAAGTTAGCGTAGTCACCCAAGTCACCCTAGCTACCTAAGTCTCCCAAGTCACCCAAGTCACCTTAGTCACCTAAGTAACCCTAGTCAACCTATTCACGCAAGTCATCCTAGTCACCCAAGCAACCTTAGACACCGTAGTCACACTAGTCACCGAAGTCACCCTAGTCACCATAGTCACCCCAATCACCCTAGTCACCCTACTCACCCAAGTCACGCTAGTCATCCAAGTCACCCAGGTCAC